CGCAATCACAGTCGTACCTTTCCTCGGATGGATAGACCTTAAAGTTAAAATGTTGGTTTTGTAGCCGGACTTCCATCCACCTTTATGCAACCCTACAACTGCTATAAAATGTACCAAATGCAACTAGCCCAATCATCATGAGTTTATTTCTGATTAACCATTTACTTTTCAACTCTCCCTTTGCCATGGTGAGCATGTACAGAGTGTAAAGAATGGCCAATGAGTCTTCTTGACTTAATAGCAGCTTGCAATTTCATAGCAACGGTTGTCTGTGCTGGATTCGACGACACGGAAGGAGGACGCTTCGAGGATTCTGAGTAAAAAAGACGATGTGAACCTGTTAAGTATACACACAACTTCATTCGAAAAGAAACTCATCTGCACAATTGCAGAGCAAACTATTCTTCGAAAAACAACTTTTCTTCCAGAAAATATTGCACAAAAAGAGATGGACATTTCGGGGCCTACTGGTGGTGGCTGTGATCGTCACGCCATTCGTCCACGAAGAGTAGGAGAGCCCTCTGAGCCGGATCGTGTAGGTGGTACAGGGGGCCAGTCCGGCCAGTTCGTAGGCCAGGGTGTTGAAATCGGGTACCAGAGCCGAAGTGCTCTCCACGCCCGAGGTTGAATAAGTGACGAAATAGCCAAATCCGGTCATAGAATTCGGCTTCGTCCAGCTCAGCCCAACAGAAATGTCGGTGACTGAGACTAGAGTCAATCTACTCACTTCATCTGGAGCTGAATTGAAATGAATAAATGAGGAAAAAATGTTTACGATTCAGTCGGAAAGAAATAAAATTTTGACCCTGTATTCACCATATTTCAATTCTATGCGTAGATATGACGTTTACATTGGATTTCACATAACCTTGCTTACCCAAAAGGTGCTCTCCTCCAGTATCAACAGCTCCAGCCGGACTCGAACGAAGACACTACAGCGTATGATCTCTATACGTTCAACACTACATCACTATCACAAGTGCCCTTGTATGATGCGAACGACATTTTCCCATATCGCATTCTGTGGTGGGAGTGTCTATGGAGCAAAATTTTATTTGATATGACAATCGAATACACCACTTGTATCTCGCTTTTGAGTAGCTTTTTGAGGAATATAGGAAATATTTTTGATTGCCATAGCAGATGCAAATTCGATTCATCGATAATCCCAGGAGATAATGTGATATGGGAGAATGCATTGCTTTCTTTGTAATTCACATCTGCCCGGTCAACGTGTCGAGATCGTTCGTTGCGATGTCACGGTTCGAGTCCCGCTGAAGCTGTTGATAGGACTTAGGCAAGGTCGGAACCTTTTGGCAGGGCGAGGTTATGTGAAATTTAATGAAAGCGTCATATCTACGCATAAGATTGTGGGAAAAGGGAACTTAGACTCGTTCATAACTTTAAAAGAATTACGGTGAACACAGCTCATATAACTGATTTACTGGTGGTATCTAAAATCTAGTCAAAAACGAAATAAAATAAAATATTGCATTTTAATCTCGAATTCTGAATACTTCACATTATAGAAAAATATGTGTAATTTTTATTCTGATTTAGCGATTTAATCTAATAATTAACATATATTATAGCATTTCTTTTTATATTATCTATTATTATTATTATTTAGAGATTTTATCAAGTATATGTTCATATAAAAATGTAGAAAACAATATTTATCAGTTTGCATATGATATATATGTTATTTAATGAATATAATTTATTATCACAATCTGTAATTAATAAACTTTTTTCCACAATCGAATATTAATATTGAAGGTATGAAGACCAAGATGGTGTGACCTTTTGTCCACGGTTCGGCTTGGAAATGATCATGCAGACAAGGTGAGTTCCTCTAAATCTTTCTAACAATATGACCAAGTTGCGAAAACAAGGTAAAACAACCTCTAATATCAATATTATTTAACGAATTAATTTCATATTTATGGATATATTATTATATATAAATGTATAAAATCTATTATCTAATGTATTTTATCTAGTAATATACTATATTCTTAATTATTTCTTTACTTTATATATCATTAATACTAGTAATTTTATCATGATATCCTCCCTTATTATTAATATCTATTTAAATTATTTTAAAAAATTTACTTATTATATAGAACAAACATAGAAAATATTATCGTCATTAAATTTTTGTCAATGACTCTGTTTTGTTTACACGCGGTGTGCATATTTCGAGATTTTATCCAAAATCTGTTCATATAAAAGAATATAATAGACTGCCAAGTGAGCTTTTATTCCATTGCGAATGAATTAGGTGCCGAAGCCGGCCAGTCTGTTGGTGTTCTTTAAGGGCACCAATTCGAGCCAGATTAGTTGACTAGACGCAAACAATTGGTTTTCTGCAGTTGTGAGGCCAGCGTTGCAGTTGGCTCGTCTTCAATCTATGTTCCCTACTGCCGG